AGAAAATAGAAGGAAGGCAAGACGACTTGTGGATTGAGATAATGACAGCTCATGGCTGTTTGGCAAGACAAATGCCATAAACCCAGATGTCTCCCCTTTCTCCTTCTTTCCTCACGCTTTGTGCTGAGCACAATGTCATATGGCATGGAATGTCCCCTTTGTCAGCTGGGGACAGCTGTCCTGGCTATGTCCCCTCCCAGCCTCTTGTCCACCCCCAGCCTACTTGCCGAGAGAGAGAAAGTCTTGACACTTTGGAAGCACTGTCCAGCAAAAGACAAATCATTGGTGTTATCGACTGTTGTTTAGCCAGAAATGCAAAACCCTATGAGGAAAGTTAACTCCATCCATCACAAGCCTGGATATGCATGTTCAGAGGTGACGGTTTGTGTTTGACATGATGTTACTTGGACTGTCTTTTCAACAGGGCAACTGACATTCTTAATTTACCATATGTGAACCCATCATATCTTCAGAGAGGTCAAGAGAACTACTGAGGGTAGTCAGAATGCAATAAAGCTTAGGTCCTCATATTAACACCATGCTACAATAACAAATATACTTACTGTTCCACTTGAAGATATTCTGTGGGAATGTGGCTTACTGTACATGGAAGATTTGAATGCAATGTCTTAGTTGTTAAACAATTTTTCCTAGAGTCAGTCAAACAATTTTTGAGAGAATAATCTTCCCTGAATGTGTTTCAACAAAATTAGAATGTGTTAGAGGACTGGCAGATTTCAAATACATCATAACTGGAGAACTGTTAAATAATTTACTTCAACGGTTCCATCTTTTGAAATGCTTAGTTCAAGATCTGCTTTGTTAGTTTTTGAATTATTATTATATTCAATTATTATATTACATCAGATAACATCACATCAGCTGCTATCAAGTGTGATAATTTGCTCCTACCTAGGCAGATTTTTTCAAGATTATCAAATGTTTTGAAAACTTACTTTCACAAAAATGCATTGAGATTTTAACTTCTCATCACAATTCAGAGCAAAGCATATCTAAATACATTAGACTGCCTGTTTTTCTGACTAGCAATTTATTACTGCGGAACAGTCACAGTCAGTCAATAACATCATTTTCTACATTTTTTTCTTTCTCGTACTTTGGAATTTGCCCTGGGTGCTACAGCATAAGTCAATTACAGTGCCCAAATGTAACTCTCTTTGGTTTCCCTGGGAAACTGAAATGGCAGAAAAAATGTCAGAGTTCAGGAAAAGAAAACCAATCTAGCACACTTCTGTTTTGTCTGTACAGATTTTGTATTATCTTAACAGAAGTTATCACAGAATCACATTGTGCTTTTTACCAGCTTTGTCTGAAAACTGTACAAGCACAGATAAATCTGTTTCTAGGCAGGATGACATTAAATTGAAACGCAGGTAAAAACAAATTAATTTTTGTCTGTTATAGTTGAGCGCGGTAATAAATGCAACAAAACATTACCAGGTTGGTTTGTTTTTTTGATGTCATTAGTAAATTGCTTGCAGAGATCTAAGTGTTTTCTGCCAAATTCTATGTTAAAAACACAGGAAATTGGGTACTTTTTTGAGTGTTTGATGTGGCAAACCTGTCTATGACATCTTTGAACAGAGTGTGTCAAGATCTTTGCTACCTCTGGGAATGACGGTGGAGAACAGACAACAAATCTACAACTTTAGTACAGAAAATAATGACACAAATGGCAAATGATTTGTCTTGACATGGTTGGCAGACATTCTCATGCTGGAAGGAATTCAAATCTTCCTGGAATAAGTACCAAGATAAGGCTGTTCCTAGCTTTGCATCTTCTGTGAATCACTTCATATCTGTGAGTTTCTTTTCTAGGCTCCACACAAACAGTAAGATATTGACGTATTGGATGGCTGACAGATTGAAGGAATTCATAAAAGGGAATTCAGAATTAAAAAAGAAGCCTTGAGGGAAATGGTTTATGAACATAAGTAAAATTATACTTTGTCTTAATGCTGACTAAGAAGAAATATGAAATACAAATGTGTAAAATCCTGCTAAGGGCATAGGACTCAAAAAACCCCAGCGGGAGGCACTTTCACCCCTTCCCCAAAGAAGAGACACAGACAGCCCCAGCTGCCCAGCAGGACTCGCAGGGGTCTGGATGTGCCCCCTCCCTCCCCTAGCACTGCACGCACGCAGCAGCTGTGATTTTGGAAGTTATGACTCCTTTGGGTGACTTTCCTTCCTATGCGGTGCAGGGTTTTACACTATGCTTTGTATGACTGTGTATTGGGTTTGCATGGCAAGGTTTTGGGCGGGGGGTGTGTGTGTGCTACAGGGGTGGCTTCTACCAGAAGCTGCTAGAAGCTTCCCCCATGTCCCATGGACCCAATGCCGGCTGGCTCCAGGACGGACCCACCGCTGGCCAAGGCCGAGCCCATCAGCCATGGTGGTAGCAGCTCTGGGATAACAGAGTTAAGAAAGGAAAAAAAAACAACTGTGAAACTGCAGCCGGAGAGAGGAGTGAGAAGACGTGAGAGGAGCAGCCCTGCAGACCCCAAGGTCAGTGCAGAAGGAGGGGCAGGAGGTGCTCCAGGTGCCGGAGCAGAGATCCCCCTGCAGCCCGTGGTGAAGACCATGGTGAAGCGGGCTGTCTCCCTGCAGCCCATGGAGGATGACGGTGGAGCAGGTATCCACCTGCAGCCCATGGAAGACCCCACGCCGGAGCAGGTGGAGACACCTGAAGGAGACAGTGACCCCGTGGGAAGCCCATGCTCAGCAGGATCCTGCCAGAGCAGGTTTGCTGACAGGACTTGTGACCCCGTGGGGGACCCACACTGGAGCAGTGTGTTCCTGAAGGTCTGCACCCCATGGAAGGGACCCACACTGGAGCAGTTGGTGAAGAACTGCAGCCCATGGGAAGGACCCACGTTGGAGAAGTTCATGGAGGACTGTCTCCTGTGGGAAGGACCCCAGGTTGGAGCAGGGGCAGAGTGAGAGGAGTCCTCCCCCTGAGGAGGAAGGAGCGGCAGAGACAAGGTGTGATGAACTGACCACAACCCCCATTCCCTGTCCCCCTGTGCCGCTGGGGGGGCAGGAGGGAGGGAAATCAGGAGTGAAGTTGAGCCCGGGAAGAAGGGAGGGGTGGGGGAGGTGTTTTAAGATTTGGTTTTATTTCTTATTATCCTACTGTGATTTGATTGGTAATAAATTAAATCAATTTCCCTGAGTCAAGTCTGTTTTGCCTGTGATGGTAATTGCTGAGAGTGATCTCTCCCTGTCCTTATCTCGACCCATGAGATATTTTCTCTCCCCTGGCCAGTTGAGGAGGACAAGTGACAGAGCAGCTTTGGTAGGCACCTGCCATCCAGCCAGGGTTAACCCACCACAGACTGCTTCTTTGGATCATATAGCAATGACTTGGCTCCATCATGCTTTTTAAAGCAGGTCTAGGCTTGGGCTAAAGGATGCAGGGGCTGTACCTTGGCAAGGTAGGAATGGGATTAAATCCTTACAGGGAAAATACACACCAAGTGTGACAAAACTGAAGAGGGACACTGAGCTGGGTACAGTCTCCCCTCAAAAACTGATTAAAGCACCATTCCTTGGCTCCTGTAACTTAGCTTCTTATAAAAGGCATATTTAAACATTCTTTCCTGAGGTCTTGCTTGGAAAGAATTCCTCTAAATAAATTACAGCACTTTGTTTAAATTTAATGAGTGCCACAGTCAAGAAATCTGACTATGACAAAACAGCTGGTATGCTGGTCTATTGTGCATCTTTCACATCCCAAAGTCAATCACACTCTCTCTTTTATTTTTCTTGGTACTAAATATGTCTCCTGTGGTCTATAGGACGTGTACACCATGATTTCTTTGTGTACAGCATTGTGTCTTTGCAACACCTAAAAAATGGAAGTCTCATCCATTACTCCGGTTCCTAAAGTAATGTAAAAAATAACAAACCAAAGCAGATTAAGTAAAATAATACCAAATTTAGCTGAGGAACAGTTCAGTTCCAACCAGAGGTGGAAAAGGCTTTTAGGTCAACTTCTCTACTTCTCATTTCAAGAGAGGCTTTCTCACTCTTTTCACATCATAAAGGAGGAGAGTAAGTTACTTTGCACAGAACTCTTAACTGTGGTTTAGGCCTGTGGTTGGAAAAGATCCAGCAGATAATCCTGTCTCCATCCTGCTGCCTTGCAATATTCACAAATGTCCCTATTGAATCTAGCTAATGTAATTGTTGAAAGGAAGAAGTAAGACAAGCCTGGATGAATTATACATGCCTTTCCCCTCTGAGCTTATCCTCTCATTTCTAAACTCAATCCACTGCTCCATGTGTCTGAGTGAGAATGAAGTTTATGGCAGCATCTCCACTGCTGACATCCTCATAAATACTGAGGTGCCCCAACTGAGGTATGTGCACAGAGGAAGAAAGATCATCTATGCAACAGTTTCATCAGAGGGCTAAAGATTTCTGTATAGTGTGTGTCCATCAGTTAAATTTTAAGAGGAGTGACTATCAAGTTCTAGCCCCACCGATAAGTATTTCCCATGGTTGGAGCAGAACAGAATTAAAACTTTGCATGCTCTGGGTTTGTTTCTTTTGATTGGAAAGGAAAGGTTGAGATTTGCTTTTGTTGTCAGTCTAAAACAAGGTTTATGGTAACCTTGTACAACAAGAACTTGGTGTTTCCAGATCTAAAAAAGAAATTAATAAATAATACAACTTTTTACTGATAACTTAAAAAACCCAAATCTATTAGGAAATGCAAAATCAGGCAGGTCTGCATTTTGTCCTGCAAACAAAACAATGTAGGGGCATATTTACGAGTAAATCTTTACCTCTGTTGCCAATATTTTTTGTGTGAACTTACTTGAAGTGTAAATATTTAATGCTTCTTTTCTCTGCATTACTATTTATTTTTCTGTGTGGGAGTAAAGGCATCCTTCAATACTGCGGACCAGGTAAATAATGTATTACTTAGTCATGAAAAATGCCAGAGGAAAATAAATGAGAGGGTATCTTACCTTTGGTCATCACAATGCCTGCAAGACTTTTGTGGCGTGCGTGCATGGAAGTGAAATTGTCTGTCAGCTCCTGGAACTTCTGTGCAACCATTTGGTATATGGAGTCGGCAAAATCCTGAAAGACACAGTCAGAAAGAATTTTTTCACTTTGATTGAGGCACCTGGGCGTTTCTGCAGATTAGTCACCTGCTGTCGACTGCTGAGTGGTCCCTTTTAGAATTAGACACCACCTACCTGAGCAAAGATAAAAGGAGTGTCTCTCTGTCGACTACCCACATCTCCCTCAGAAATAGCCAAATTAACTGAATTAAAGCTAGACACCACTATTGCCTAGGATTAGTGGTGAAGGGAGAAGATTTCAAGACTGACTTTTTTTCAGCCTCCTAGATGTTGATCCAGGATTAGTTCACAGCAAAGTTGTTGGTCCTTAAAGCGTTTTATTGTAGTAAGCTGAAGAGGTGGACGTGTGTCCCACCAAACCACTTATTCCCATGAGCCCACTGAAGCCTGAGAGCTGAGCGGAGGCCTGGGTTACAGGTGAGGTTTGTGCATTCAAGGTGAGTTTTTAATGACTCACAGCTACTGAGATAAAAAATCAGCTCAGGGATCTGGGCTATGTTTAATGCTGTCAGAGGAGTACCATGGTCTGTCTTGCTTCCACCTCCACAGCCATTGGGAGGGAGGGGAGGGGAACCTCTGCTTGCACATCCTACCAAAGATGTTGCTTGCACGAGCTCGCTGGTGTGCAGCAGTGCTGAGGGACCGGTCTGCCAGGTCTCCTGAGCAGGGCAGCTTTGTTAAAAGGTCAAATTTCCCCAGGGACTGGGCTCTAGGGACTGTGTGGTCTGAACCCTCAGGTCTGAGTGAGTCCAGTCACCAGGGAGAGCCTTGGGAAGCCAATTACTGGTGCCAAGCAGGGCAAAAGGTCTAAAAAGTTAATTCTGCAGGCTGTGGATGGATGAATGTGAACTTAAACCAGCTCTAGTGCTCCTGAGAACACCACTGCTTGGACTGTTTCCCTGCTGCAATGTTTAGTATCTTTTCATTTACTTAATCTCTGTGCTTTGTTTGGCACAGAGCCTTTCAAGCATACATTAGAGATAAGTCAGAGGAATGCTGTTTGCGAGCATGAGTTGTTCTTAAAGTGCTTTGCAAGTCTGAACATATAAAAGTAGGATCCAAAGTGTTTTAATTTTTTTTTTTTTTTTTTTTTTTAGCTATAGGATTTTTTGCAGGAAACCAAGCTGTACCTACAAATCCTTCTGGGAGAGTGGTTCCTGGGGGCTGGAGCTTACTCTGGGGTGCTGACAGGAGACCTCCAGGCATCCTGTAATCTGGTTAGCCGCAGCTGATCGCGCCTTTGTTAGGAAAAGTGGCTTGAACAAGCAACAGTTCCAGTTTTTCTCCCGGTGTTGGGCTAAGCTGGCTGGGGGGGGCGTGGGGCTGGTAAAACACAGGTCCCCTTGAATTCACCTGGTCTCTTTAAGCGGGTTCGTGGCACACGTGGAGGAGAGGCTGAGTCTGATATTCAGCCTCCCTCACCCTGAAAGACCCACAGCCATGCAGGAGTAAGGACATGTATTTAAGAAGATCACATCCATTCTTTTTCTCCCAAAACTCTTAACGGTGATGAAAACATGTTGGCAAAACCACAGCATTTTAAATTGGGAGAACACGCAGCTATTTTTCAGAGGAAAGCAGATTTCAATCCACAAGTATTATCAGTATTACTACTGCCGCTGAGAGCCTCTGCGGGCTGTACACCATATGTTTCTACAGTTTGTTGTGGAAAGTCAGCTTAATTTTTAAACATTATTATAGCAAATATTAAAAAACCTAATTAAATAAGACATAACAACAATTAGGCAACCCCCTTTTCGTAAAACCTGGAATATTTTTTCCACGTACAATCCTTGTAAGTGATTGCAATTTGCTCAAAACATAGAGGATAGGATTTCCTTGACACATTAATTTTTCTTTGTTTTGCTAAATGCAGCTTTCCAAGGTATTGCTCTGGGAACAAACCATTTGCCCAAAAAGACAGTTTAATATAACATGGAATAAAATACGCTGGCTTGTTGCAAAAGAAGGAAAGAGGCATATAAACCCTTTCTGGGAGATGCATGCAAAATTCTACGCTAGAATTAGATGAAAATCAAGAAAAATTATCAAGAACAGTTTGACAGTTCCTAAATGGAATTTCACTTTGACTGCATTTATACCTCTTCTAATCTAATTGTCCACAACCACCATGTGAGCAAGGTATTGCTCATACAGTGCTTCTGAAGGATGAGTTTTGGGTCAATTCTCATTTGTCAAGCATCAAGGCACCCTTGTGATATAAATGCAATTATAGTCGCTTTACAGATGAATGAGTGAAGGCACTAAAAGGGTGAGGGACTGGTCCAGGGGAATAGCATGGAGCCGGGCACAGCCAGGTGTTCTGATTTCCTGATGCTCTGGCTAAGTGCTCAGTGCTGGAACACTGCCTGTCTTTCATAATATGAAAGTTTGTTTCTAAACTTGTTTTCCCTGCTGAAGAGTGACTTCATCCATAACAGAAAACTAAAGTGTATTTGCAGGACTGATATAACTGGGTCCCATATGGCGGACTGAAAATCTGATCAGCTTTATTTAGACTAGAAAGAAAGAAAGAAAAAAAAAAGAGTATCTCAATAAAACTATCTGCACCATCATTTAAAAAAAGAATCAAATCATAAATTTCATCTCCTGCAGTATTGCAGTCCAATCCATGCCTGCATTTCTAGCGTACCCTCCAAATCTGCATCCCAGGGCATTTTGTGCTCATTAAGAGTTAATTAGCTTAGAGGCACATACAATTCCTAAAAGAATCGTTTTAAAAATGCTAAATAGAACAAATAACTTTTAACTTTGGATTTAGAAATCCCCACAGTCAAGAGCTTTCTTTACTTCATTTGGCAGTAGGTTCCAAAGCCAGAGAGCAAAGAGACTCACTAAAGGCAAAATAACGACATGACTTCAGATAACATTTAGGGACGATAAGGAATTCGGCATTTGCTGATCTCAAGGAGTGACCTGGGATGTTAAAGAACAGCAAATCCATTAAATGTGAAGCCTCTTAGCTCAAATAAGTCAGGCGAATATTTTTCATCTTGAATCCATTGCCTAAAAGGATGCCAGTGAAATTAGTAGAAGCAAAGGAGTAACATACATGAATACGTGTAGGTTGTTCCTGCATCCTACATGTATTCATGTATGTCACCCTTCGACAACCAGAAACATAGTGTCTAATCTGAGACGTCATTTAAAAACCATACATAAAAGGGACCATCCTTTTGTTATTCTCTATTATCAAAACGATTAATCTCAGAGAAAAGTTGTGTTTGGTGATACCACAGTTCCTACTGCCAAATATGAGTGAAAAGAAAAGTCTCCATCTGGAATAAATACAAGAGCCAAATACATCTTGGTAGTTTCTGAACAACTATCAGGTTGGTAGTAGAAAAAGGGAAAATTTCTGAAGATAGGGGAAAAAAAAGTTGAAATTTTTTTTGTGAAAGAGAAATTCAGTGCAATTAATCAAGGTGTGTGCAATTGCACTGATCACATAATGGCAGAGAAGCAGCAGCTTAGGGCGGGGGGGGACAGGAGAGAAGGAAATAAAATGATACAGACAGTCAGAACTCTGAAAATTTTTACCAAAGCACATAGGAGAATAAATGCTCAAATATCACTTGAGTGCTGGACCTAGGAGGGCTTATGTTTAGATGTTAAATCTCCTTGGAAAACGGGGGTCTGATGCAAAACCACCACTGAAGCCAGTGGAAGTATGCCTGACTCAAAGATGCTCAGATAAGGCTCAACTGGCGAGGATGGGAGTTCAAGCACGCCCGTGCCCTGGCCAGGCAGGGTGAGCTTGGCCATGCCGGCTTTGGGTGCACATTGGGAGGAAAAAACCTACGACTCTCGGGAAGAATTGACCTTCCAGGTGCTGAGTTTCTTTCAAATCCCCTTCTTTTGTTCACCTGCTATCAAAATCTTAGCTTTCACAGGTCCTCACTTAGATTTTTCTGTACAAACAACATTTACCTCAGAGACAATTTCTTTGAGATCAAAACTTTGCACACCCTTACTAATAGAGTGAGTGATATGAGGGAGGCAAACAAGACTGCTAGACCCACACTGAGAGGCAAATCTGCTCTCGGTTCCACTCCAACCATGAACATTGCCTGAAAGCCTGCTGTCACTGGTGGAAGCAACAGTGTTCAGGCGCCTGGCAAAGGAAAGAAAAGAGGTAATGCGAAAATTTTCACTGGGAAAAAAACCTGTGAGATCTGCAGTACTTAATAAGCCATAGTTTAACTTATACAAAGGGGATCGAAAAATGAAAAATAGATGTCATTACTATTAAAACTGCACTGTGTTTTCTGAAGTATTCATCTGTCCTTGATTACCATATCAAATTACTTGTGTTATTCACAAAGGAAAATCAAACTTTAGATCATACCGCTACAGAACCAAAAACTTTTAGTAATTTCTCAGCACTATATTTCAAATGGTATAAATAATTAAATGTGTTCAAGTTTGCAATGGGAGTCTTCAGGGTAAAACTGACATTCAACAGGAGTAGTAAGGATATTAAAATCAATAGATTATAAAGGAGAAAGCCTTTAGTAAACATTTTCTATTGAAATCCTGTCTTAGAGTTTATAGGGTTGAAATATCAGAAAGGTTAGATTTGCATATGGACGGGAAGAAATATTCTACTATACAGATATCACCAAGGGCTCTGTTTCTACTGTCGCCCAAGTACTTTATTTTCCAGAAAATTACTGACATTTGGGGGGTAAATGTTGAACACGATGAATGGGGATTGAGTTGAATTAAGTTCACAACTCCCTTCACAGATAAAAGAGATGGACACCTAGTTCTTTTTTACTGGCTGAGGGGGAAACACGCACTCATTGACAGCGGGAGTTTGTAGTTCTTGCTGTGGAGAAATCTCAGTGTCTAAATGGGAGGGGAGGAAAACACAGCCCAGAGAATATCAATCCTGAAATGCTGCTTCTGGTCAGGGTGTGCAGCAAATTGCTACACAACACACTTTTTCCCAGGCTTGTAAATAAGTTTGCT